ACATACCTTTGAGACTTGGAAGACGTGGTTTACTCTTGGTTTTAATTTTTTATTGTTTTTATTTTTAAAATTTTTTTTCTATTTATTTTTGCTTACGAGGTCCAATAATAATTTAAAAACAAACTGGCCTGGCGGTCAAAATGAATTTAAAAATTAATTACCTAGAAAGAGGGGTAGGAGTTCAGCATGGATTTGCTTTGTCTTATGGGAACGGGAGGATCTGGGTGCAAACCTGCACCTCAATCTCATTTTTCCCTTTCCCATGGCTCCCCAAGCCCAGCCCAGCGCCCTGACCCTGAAACCCCTTCACTCCGGGAAAAAAATCCCCGGCTCCCTCAGCTCTTTGCTTTGCAGGAAGATGCAGCGATGCTGCAGGTGGCTGCGTTGCACCAGGATTTTTTTTTTTCCCCCTACAAAACAGCGTGACTGAGCGTTTCCAACCAGGAATCGCTGCTGTCAAACCACGTATTTTGTTATTTCTAGTCCTCTAACAGGTTATTTTACCCGGTTGCCGGTCTATCTGTAAGTGCCACAGTGTAACGCACCGAAAAAACGCCTTTTCCAAGCTCTCCTCCCTCCCAAGCTCCTTAACAGGCTTTATTTTCCTTTTTTTTTTTTTTCCCCCTATGGGAAAGCCAGCCCACGGCAGAGAAAATATCTGGAGCCTGATCCTACCGACTTCCCCCAGTACTCGCAGCAAAGAGAAGGGAAGGATGGGCAGAGGGTCACAGCCTTTCGGGGATGACAGATGCTCAGAGGGCCTGAAAATATTGAGAATTAAAAAAAAAAACCACCCCAAACCTCAAACCCTCAAACCTGGATTTATGGGTATCCAGCGACTCTTATTGCTATTGTTGGCTGGTTGAGTTTTCCTTTCAAAAATAACCCCCTAAATGTGTTTTTTCTCCCTCTAAGACCTGGTTTCATGCCCTCTGGCTGGGGACCACATCATCCCAAATGCCCTCAGGATGCAGGAAGGGAGGGAGGGGATGGCAAAGAGCAGGGAGCGGGGAGTCTCTCTGGGAAGGACCATCTTCAGCGGCGTTGTTGGAGAAAACCTGATACCCTGAACCATCCATCATTAAAACAACCCCCTTAAATAACACTTCATGGTAATTACATCTTGAAACTTAAAAAAGCTGGACTGGGTAATTATTATTTATAAAATACAGGAGCGAATCCTTGCCCGGAGGGTTCAGCCGCTTGGAAGGGTGATGGGTACGGGCTCCAAGGGGCTCACTCAGGTTGGGGGCCACCACCACTAGCAGTATCTCTCATTTTTCCCCCAAATTTCTCACTGCAGTTCATGTTTGAAAGCAAAGACAATGGCAGGGGTGGGTTAACAGTGGTTTGAGAGTTATTTTCCTTCCTCTTTAGCTGGAATTTTAATCTCCAAGACACTTTCTGGGCCTGCTAAGGATGGTTTAACCCCTCCTGCGCTTCCTCGCTAATGCCCGGTGTGATCCTTCACCCTGAAAACCCCTTTTCTTTAACTGGCATTGGTGAAATATTGAAGCGGGTGGCCCCCAGCAGTGTCCCCTTGCAAGGGAATCCCCCACCAGGCTGTGACCTCCCCAGGACCTTCACTTAAGCCATGACTTGGCCAAGGAAAGGGCTTGGGATCATGGGTTTTCCCCCCCATCTTTCCATCTACCCAAAAAACACAGGGGAGGGGCAAGGCTGCAGGTCACTGCTGGCATAAGCCGCGGGGGTTCATGAAGCCCCACATCCCCACAAGGTGGCAGGGAGCACCTCCTCACCACCACCACAGCCCCATGGGAAGGAATCACCCAAGGCTGGAGCCGCGCGATGGCCCCAGAGCTATGGGGTGGCCCTGGAGCCATGCAGGGTCCAAGTCTAAACCCGACACCAGTTGCCAAATGCGTTCACCAAAGCGTCTCACCCAACTCATGGTGAATATTTCATCTCATCACCCCTTGGTTGAGTTCATGAGTATTTCTGCCGGGACCTAATAGGATAAGGAGCATCAGATCTACTCTCGATCCAAGCAAAGGAATGAAAACGAAACCACCCCACGTCAGATCCCGCTAGCGGTAACACTGGGTGATCCTCCACGCTCAGCTCCCAGAGCTTTCCACCCCACTTTCAGCGTCTCTTTTCAGGAGAAGGCCTAGCATCTCCTTCCTAGCCACGGGCCAACCTTTTAGCAGTCGTTCTTCGAGCACTTAACAGTGAAGGGAATGGTGCCTAGGCCGGTGGTGGGATGGTGTCTGCTGGGAAAAGTCCTCCTCTGCAGAGCCCAGCTGTGACATTGGCTAGAGCTCCCATCTGACGTGTTTCAACACCGACAGAGAGATCCTAATACAGACCATGAAGTCAACAGCAAGAGCAAAAAAAGGGTATCTGAGACGTCTTCAATTCCTGTGAGCTACCAGTTGGGGTTTTTTGGCCCAGGTTTAACTGTAGTGTGCTACGAACAGCGGAGGGATGATGTAGGATTGTTAGTTCCAAAAGTCCCGTTGCTTTTTATGTGCTAACTCTTGGCTTCACCAAGCTGAATGGAGCAACCCTTGGATTATTTACTTTTCTTCCTTTTCCTGTTATATGAACCCAAAGTGCTACACGGGAAGAACTCCACCTTTCCCACCCCACGGCACTGGTGCTCAGCTTTCACCCACTTTGTTCCCCATAACGTTAGGCAGGTCAACCAGAGCTTTGCAAGATTTCCTTTAAAATCAGCAGAACCTACTAAATGACCCCCAAAGAGAAACGCCAGCCCCAACACCCGACCTGACAAACCACCTGGGACCAACTAGCGGTAGGAAAAGTCCTCTTTGGTCTCTAAGCTTGTTTCTCCCCATTTGGACCACGCTCATGGCAGAGAACTCTTCTCAAGGGCAGCAAAGCCAAGATGGGAGACACCACCAAGAGCAAGGAGGTCTCGCCCAGGTGCCAACAACTGGTCACCTTGATGTTCTGAAAGACCTTCCAGTTGACCTCTACACCACCATGTCCTGGTCAAGGTAACCTTCCAGTGCTGGTCTCCACTGCTCTCATCTCCCTCTGGAGATGTGACTAAGGTGTGACCAAAGCAGAACAACCTACAGAGACATCTGGGCACTGACAACACCACACGCGGGTCAGAAGCTCGTGCCAGGAGGGATTCCTGTCGACATCTCCTAACCTGACCTCTTGAAAGGCTCTGGATTTGGTCCGTTACGACAACCTCGGAGCCCAAGAGACGTGAGAGTTGCACACCACTGGGTGGATGTAACTCTTTTGGCACACTTGAGGGAAAAATCAAAACCAGAATGTTTTTGTCTTAGGAGGAAAAAAAAAGAAGAAAAACCTTCTTTCTATGCTGGGTTTAGCAATAAGAATTTAAAAATAAACTGGCCACAAGCATTGTCTGCAAATACAAACTCTCTCTCTGCTGCCTTGAGACAACTTATTGCTCTGCTTGGACACCCCGGGGTGGGATGTCACTGGCTGCAGTCGGCTTCCTGTCCTCACACCCCTGGATAAACCAAAACCTCCAGAAATTACCCCAATGCCCACAGCCTCTGCCTGCCCATTGTATCCCAGCCTGGCTCACGTCAACCGTGGATCATCTTCCTTGCCCTCACCTTTTCTCAGGTGCCTTCCCGTGAGGAAGGCGACATGTTTATTGCTATTGCTTCCTCTCCGCTCAACTTCTCCCCACCCGCCAAGCAAAGTCGCCGGACAACGTCCCCCTCTCTGAGCAGGATTTGTGCTTGGATGAACATTTCTCCTGGAAGTCTCCAAGCACAGCTGTAACTCAAGGAATGGGGGACCACCTCGACTGCCACAGAGGCGTTGCAGTTTGGTCTCAGCCCTGCCAACAACCTGGATGCAAGGTGAGGCCACCCGTCTCTCCCCTCATCCTGCCTCAAAGGCTCTTCTCCATCAACCAGCAACCCTCTTTCCCCATGACACTAGACCCTGGAGAAGCTCCTCAGACCAACCCTTGGACCTGGAGAAGCTCTTCAGACCAACCCTTGGACCTGGAGAAGCTCTTCAGACCAACCTCTGGACCTGGAGAAGCTCTTCAGACCAACCCTTGGACATGGAGAAGCTCTTCGGACCAACCTCTGGACCTGGAGAAGCAACTCAGACCATTCCTTGGACCTGGCAAAGCTCTTCAGACCAACCCTTGGACATCTCCTTTCTTCCTTCAACAGCCACCCAGCACGTCGGTAGCCGTGCAAGGAAGGAGCTGCCTTCTCCCTCATGCTGCCCCAGGACGTGGCTGATGGGCACCACCTCGTTTTGCCAAGAGGTCCAAGATGCTACCAGGGCACGTTCCTCTCTGCTGCTCTCCTCCCATCACGCAAGATCCGTTTGCCCAGTTGGAAAAAGCAGACCAAAGACCCGATGGTGACCAGTCCTCCTACTTGCTAAGACAAGTGTGTTACATCGCTAATTATATTTATATTCTCTTACTCCTACAAAAGAAGGGATGAGTTCAGAATTTCACCGCAGATAATGCATTTATAATCTATCACGACAGCTATCTGGAAGACACCAATTTTCTTGTAATATGTTATGGAAGATTAAATAATTTATATTATTCAACTAAAAATACCCCAAACCAAATCGGAATAAGCCTGCCTACCAGCGCTGTGCTTTTCACATAGTACCCTGAACATCAACCACTCTTACTAGCCAAAGAAAAAATCTAGGCTCTCGTCAACAACAACGACAACAGAAAAAAAAGAACGAAAAAGAACCCAAAACAAACAAGAAGTGGGGGGATCTTTGCACCACTCAGCTGGGCAAATGCTGGAAAAGTGAAGATTCTGAGCTTTTCAAACTGATAGGACCAAAGAGAGAACTTTACTATTGCTCAGTGTCAGTATGTGTGTTACACAATTTATGTGGGTTGGGGAGGAGGAAGGGGGAGAGGAGGAAAAAAAAAAAAAAGGGAGGCAGAAGATTAGAAAAAGCAGCTTTTACAAAAACCACTAAAGAATGCATAAAGTGACCCTTGCACTTTTTTTTTTTCCTTTTTTTTTTCATTTTTGTTCTTGCAAACAGACGAGGTGCTGCAGTCCAGCGGCCACAGCACCGATGTAAGACTTGTGTAGTTGCATACAATGTTTGATTCCGGATCTGGAAGAGAGCAAACACGTTGCAAATGAGGAGTTAAAAGCAAGAGGGGTCGGATCGGGCAGGGCTGTTCTCCTCTCCTCCACATCCCTCATGAATTTAACCACCCCGCTCCGTGGGCAGTTTCTTGGAGCTGAGGAAGCAGCAGCTCGCTGGTGGTACCCAACGCACCGGCTTAAATTAGTACTCGCTGCTAATTGCACGACAGTTTGTCACGGGCAGGATTAGCCCAGCGTAACAAGGAGAGATTGGTGATAACCCCCCTCCCCGGGCAGGATGAGATGTCCCCCGGCAGCATCATGTGTTCCCATCAGCCGCCTGGTCTGTTAATTGGGCGTGATGGACCGAGGGACTCCAGCATTTAAACGAGCAACTGGGATTTCTGCGATCCTGAGCGTGACGGGAACCTGCAGGGAGCGGGATGCAACGCTGGTGGTATCGAAGGATGATAGGTTTTAGCAGGGGAAAATAGATATGAAAGATGGGGAGGGGCTTTTTATCAGGGAGTGTAGTGATAAGACAAGGGCTGACGGTTTCAGACCGAAAGGGCATAGATTTAGATCAGATACAAGATGGCAGAGGGTAAATTTAGATATTAAGAAGAAATTCTTTCCTGTGAGGGTGGTGACACCCTGGCCCAGGTTGCCCAGAGACGCTGTCGCAACTTCCCCAACCCTGGAAGTGTCCAAGGCCAGGTTGGACAGGGCTTGGAGCAACCTGGGCTGGTGGGAGGGGTCTCTACCCATGGTTGCAATGAGATGACCTCAAGACCCCTTCCAATCCAAACCACTCTGTGATTTTATGAAAAAGCATGATGCATCCAAAACCTTAAAGCATGAAAATTTCCACCCTCACGGTGCCCAACTGCACTCGGAGCACCTTGATGCCACCGATGCCGCTGGCAAAACCTTGCACGCACGGAGCAGCAAGATGTTAAGGTCAAGGTGGCCCCTGCTTTGCCGACACTCTCTGTAGCCGTGAGGCTATCCCTGCCGAGGAGCTGTGCTAAACGGCCTTTCTGAAGCCAAAACATCACCCAGACCAAGGAATTCGGCTGCTCTGCAGGAAGGAGAGACGCGACAGCAACGCTGGGCGACCAGAAAATCAACAAGGGCAAGAGCAAAGCCTGCAGAGACGGCACTTACATGAATTGGCCAGTGGGTTTACCAGTGTGGAGGTACGTAGCTGTAGGTGGGGGTTCCTTGAGCCCTGTACGTTGGCACGGAAACTGGATGTGCTCCGATGGCAGTGTGTTGTGGCGTGGTCAACAAGGTTCCTGCAACGGCATGGAGGAACACTTAGCAAGGAGGAGAGGTCGATCAGGGGAGCAGTACCCCAAGGGGATGGTGCTGCAGACCGTATCCGAGGGGCAGGCACAGCATCAACTGCCTTTTCTCCTCCTTCTTCAATTCTCCCAAATATTATTCCGACCTGAATCGAAGGCGTTGGACTCAGCCAGCACCATGAATAGAATAAACCCACCTGGAGCTCCAGCATATTTTTCATGCTCATTTTGGCCCTTAACTAATCTTTTTTTCCAATTTTCCTTGTCCCTGAAGACCAGCATCAGAGCTGCTGACGTTTTCCACCTGTTGAAGGCATCGGGCTGAACTGCAACAGCAGATGTCCGAAACCTCTAAGGACCAAACTGGAAGGGATGAGGGTTGCAAAAGGGATTGCGTTCCCTAACCGAGTCCTTTTTCACAGCTAATGCAGCTGCAAAAGGATGAATGACGCGCTTCTTGGCATAATTCAATATACAGTCCTAAGAATTGCTAATGAGGGAAATGCAGCCTTTGGTAAAAATAAATAAAACCAGCTGATATCTGTACTTAGTGTGCTGTCAATTAATTGCAGTCTGAAGCAATCCTGCACAGAAATCACCAAGGATCTGGGATACATAAACCGAGGTTAATGTTCATTTTGTCAAACGAAAGCAAGACTATCAGTAGCCTAAAAAAGGAACTCGAGGATAGAAATACAACAGTATTTGAAGAGGGACAAGCCTGCTTACTCTTCTATTTATGGAACAGACAGAGGAAAGAATAATATACTAAAGGATGCAAGAGTGCATCCCTCTAGAGTCAGCCAACTGAAGGTCTCCCCTGCTAATCTAAAAACTGAGTTGGATCAGTATTGGGAGCGAATTAATTGATTTTTGCTTCAAAAGGAGGGGTAACCACCAAGCAAAACCAGTGGACAAAGCTACAATTAGCTGTGGGCAAAGCGCTTCGCCAGATACACCCTGAAGGTTGGGTGCACAGAGAGTTTTTCATCCAGGACAAATGTCCTGCACAGGTTTGTCTGGATATGTCCCACCCGAGAGATGGCTCTAAACACGGCAAAGATTTGCCTTCTTACCTGCTGACATTGCCATGGTGGTTCCAGCGACCATTCCCATGGCCACACCGTTGGTCCTGGGTGCAGCGACCGGAGCCGGGTAGATGGCCGAGGGGATGCTGTTGGGCTGAACCACGGTGGTGTGATGGATAACGTGAGGCTGTGCCGCGTACACTGGCTGGGTGTAATAAGCTCCCTGTTGGAGAAGGGGAGAAAAAACCCAAACAATGCCGTCATCTTCGTCGTTCGATTGAAAGCACAAGCTAAAGCAGTGACTTGAAGTATAGTAGTGGTAGGACTAGGGGGAATGGATTGAAGCCAGAGATGGGTCGGTTCAGATGGGACGTGAGGAAGAAGTTCTTCCCCATGAGGGTGGGGAGACCCTGGCCCAGGTTGCCCAGAGAGGGGGTGGCAGCCCCATCCCTGGGAGTTTTTCAGGCCAGGCTGGATGGGGCTCTGGGCAGCCTGATCTAGTGGGGGATGTCCCTGCCCATGGCAGGGGCTTGGAACTGGATGAGCTTTAAGGTCCCTTCCAACCTTGACAATTCTACGATTCTATTTTATTTGGGGCCGATCGCTAGCTCGGTGTGCAGTGAGGGTCAGTCTGGTAACACGGATCGAGGTGTCATCACGGAGCTCCACCACCTGCGACTGCAGATGCTGCCCTGGAGCAAGCTGTGATGCTCTCGGGGCTGGTCCTGCCAGCAGAACCCCACACCTACCCCCCACACCAGCACAAAGGAGTTTCCCAAACCTAGCCCCTATCACGAATGGCTCTGGTCCTTGAAGACTTCAAGCCCTCAGCTCCTCCAGATGCGCTGCAGAAGCAATATTAAGACAAGCAGGAGCCACATGTAGCTGATGGTACAAAGTGCTGCCTGTGGGATGTCATTCAAATGTTGCCGAAGGGCTGGTCCTACCCATGAGCAAGATCCTGTGCCTGGAAACCTGGAGAAGCAAGGATGAAGCCAAACCTGTGGATGTGTGGGGTGGTCCCCAGGATGGATGAAGGCAACAGGAGGGATCATCATCACAGGATGGAGAGTCAGGGAGGAAAAGACTCGAAAGACTTTGGCCGCTGGCACAGAAAATGAACAAGAGATGGAAGAAAAAGGAGAAGCCACGACTCTTGGCTGACCCCAAGGTGCTTGGGAATAAGAGAAAGCAACCAACAGATAAAGCTCCATATGCAAAATAACGAAGGGCCTGACACACAAGCGGTGCAGAGGAGAGAACTGCTGTCCCCAGGACATGCAGGGACACCGCGGGCACCTGCAAACCAGGGACAGACGGAAAGATCAGAGGGTTTAAAAAAAAAGAAAGGGAGGTTTTGTCGTTGGTTAGTGAAGGCCATTAGAGATCCTCCGAAGGTGTGGATGAAGGGGAGAAGGTGATGCAGGTGAACTATTAAATTACTTCTTCCTTTCAGGAGCTACACAGATTGATGGGACAAATCACAGCTGCTGACAGGTGGGTCCTTGGAGAACGAGAAGGACACATTAAGATAAATGAAGCCCACGAAGAAAAGGAGACTGAGAAGTCGGCTGTGGAGAAGCAACTTCCCAGGCGGCGAGTGCTGCAAGCACAATGTGCTACCAAAGCATCTCCTTCTCGCTGTCGTTCCCTTCCAGGCCGTGAAAACTCTTCTTTGCTGGTCCATGGCAAGCAGAGGTGAGGAAACAGCATCTGCAAAGCCTGCTCCAGCTCAGGCTTGCTGGTGGGCACTGAGAGCAGATGCCAACCTCTCGTTGTGGCCGGGATCGGAGAGGAACCAGCAAGCAGGGATGGGTTTGGCCCCCAGTGGTTTATGCGACGCTCAGTTAATGGAAGGAGATGTGACGGCAGACAAAACCAGCAAGAGATGTTCCGCTCTCAGCAGGGCACGGAGAAACCACTCCATGAGGTTGTAGCTGCTGGAGAAGTTGGCTCTTTGACCTTAAAGTGGGGGAAAGTCAGAGACGCTGTAGGGCCAGACTGCTCGAGGAGCTAGGGATCTTCAGTGGGAAGGGGCACCAAAGGTGATTTTCCAGAGGACATCTGTCCTGTGGAGGATCCCCACCTGGAGGCAAGGCAGCAGCAGAGAAGATGGTACTTGAAACCCTTCAGCTCCTCCATGAAGACATGAATCTGGCTCATTCATGAAGGAACTTGTGCTGATGAAGGTGACACAGGGGCTTGTCCATGGAAGGTGGCAGGAGGGCAGTACAAGTCAGGTGAGATACAAAAAGCCATCAGCAAATGGACCTTGTGGGGACCCAGATTGTGACCCTGGGAAAGAGCAGCACTGAGAGCTGGGAAGGGTTGGAAGAGGTGGGTGCTGGGACCATTCTGGAGCCAGCAAGCCCTGGCAGTCAGGCATGTGATTTTGGGAGAAGAGACCTGATTCCCATCTTGTCTGAGCCACAGGGATGCTGACTCCACTGCACACCAATAGCCTCGCATGGCCATGTCTCATCCAGAGGATCCAACAGAGGAGGGAAGAGAGACACTCCAGCATCCCAAAGACCCACCAAGCCCTCCATCCTGCCAGGACATGGGTGCTCAGTCCTGACAGCCAAGGATGAAGCCCTGCAGGAACCTCAGATGCCACTGAGTGAGGCGGTGAGCACCTACCTGGGTGTACAGGTTCTGCTGTGGGTAGGCACTTCTGATGGGGTACATAGCGGTTTGATACGGATTCGGAGATGGCGAGTAGGGAGGAGGTGCGTTGTTACTCTGGGTCGGTGGGACCTTGTAGGGAGTCCCCGCAGTGTACCCTGGTGAAGACAAGAGGAGTCTGAGTTAGGAGTTACAGCTGCAGAGCTGGTCACAGAGTCACAGAACGGCAGGGGTTGGAAAGGACTTCTGGAGATCCCCTCGTCCACCCCCCCTGCCAGAGCAGGATCACATCCAGTAGATCCCACAGGAGAACGACCAGGTGGGTTTGGAAAGTCTCCAGAGACAGAGACCCCACACCCTCTCTGGGCAGCCTGGGCCAGGGCTCTGTCACCTCCCCAGTACAGAAGTATTTCCTGATGTTGAGGCTGAACCTCCCTTTTCCCAGTTTGTGCCCATTGCCCCTTGTCCCGTCACTGGGCACCCCTGAGAAGAGTCTGGCCCCATCCTCCTGACATCCCCCTTGAGATATTTTCATGTGCTTTTTAATTTGATTGTAAGCTGGTGCAAAATGGAAAACAAAGTCAATTTTCATAGAATCAGAGAATCGTATCAGCTGGAAGAGATCTAGAAGATCATCGAGTTCAGCCTTTGCCCCAGCCCCATCAACCTACTCAACAACTACCCCCAACACAACATCCACCCGTCTCTTAAACACTTCCAGGGACGGTGACTCAACCTCCTCCCTGGGCAGCCTGTTCCAATGGCTGACAACCCTCTCAGTATAGAGATTCTTCCCAAAATCTCATTCCTCAAGTGGGAGATGCTCCAGCCCCCTCATCCTCTCAGTGACCCTGCGCTGGGCTCTCTCCACCAGTTCCCTGTCCTTCTGGAACTGGGGAGCCTAGAACTGGGCACAGGATCCAGATGTGGCCTCCCCAGGGCAGAGCAGAGGGGAAGGATGCCCTCCCTCGACCTGCTGCCCAACCTCTTCTTGATGTCCCCCCCTCTTCTTGATGGCCATGAGGGCACTTTATTGGCTCATGGTCCACGCAGCACTTGAGCAACCTGAGCTGCTGGTCATCATGCACTGGCTGCTCCCTGGGCAGCACTCAGCATGGAGGAGATGCACCAGCATCTACTGACATGCCATGAAATCCATCAAGCCAAGACCTTCTGCGTCCAGCATCCATCCATGGCTAGCTGACCACAGCATCCTCCACCCAGCCTGGCAACGGCTCTTCCCACGCTGCCTACACCGAGCCGTAGAGCTGAAGGGTCAAGGCATGACTTGATGGGACTCAACTAGCACTTAAACCACCTAAGGCAGCAGTAGGCCCACACCTACTTACCCATCTCTATACACCTACTTGATGAGAATAATGATTTTCCTTCTCTCCTCCCCAGATTTCTGTCCTTTGACCTTCTATTTTTTTCGCTCAGAACATGATGGGCAAAACCAGAACTTCATTGCTGGAGGATCTAATTTCATGACATAGTATGGTTGTCTCCTGCCTACGCCGCTCCGAGCAATGACTTGCAGTATTTAGGATTTGCCGAGTATACGAGGAACAAACTAAAATGAAGGATCCTTTCCAAAACATGGAAAATTGTGTCAAAAAAAGAACCTAACCCAACTAAAAATAACCTAAGGGATACGTGGTATCAGCTGACCTGCTGGCTCTGGGTGTCACTTTGGGTTTTTGCTGCTATTTGCATTTAGTTCTGAGCTGCTTGGTGCTTCTAAAATTACATTTTCCTTCCAGAACACCCAGCGGTACCAGCTCCAGATCCTCTAATACAAGCCTGATCATATTTGTCTATTTTTTTTTTTAAAAGGCATTCCCTGGGATGAGGACATCCCGCAAAGATCTCCACTCTTCCGAAACCTTTCAAGGTATCTCCCTATCTGTTGATTTGTGCTGAACATGGGGTTGACCCTCATACCTTCCACCAGTTTTGCTCTCAAAAAAAGAAAGGGCCAGCTTTAAGCAGGCCCAGGTTAACACTACGTAACCCAATTCCTGTTACCTGGCAGTCAAGTACCAGTAAGACTTTGTGGCAAGTACAGAATCTAAAGAAGGTGGGACCCACCCCGAGGATGGGATGTCCCTGCACCAAGGATATGTGACACTTGAATTCCCAGCCTTTAAAGGCATTTCCAAAGAAGGCTCCATGGAGCTGCCCCTGAAACATTATTACTTTGGTGCTAAAATGGGGGAAAACCCTCAAGAATACTTAAATCTGTGCTTTAAGGGTATTGGTTTTTTTAGGGAAGACTTAAAAGCTGAGCTGCTGCCACGGGACACACCAGACCACATCAAGTGTGCCGTGACGGCATCAAAGCTCAACGAATGGTTAAAAAAAGTGGAAAAGGTAAAAAATCTCCTCACACCAGCAATGAAAAGCATGTGGGCTGGGCAGGCTGGTGAGAAAGAGTCGCCAGCTCTTGCAGGAGGGCTGGAAAAAATCATCCTTAGAGAAAACCAAAAGACTGTAGGATGGAGAGGAGAAGTCAAGGCTCAGCCCAGCGATAAGATGTCTAAACACTCAAATATAATGAACTAATTTACTCCAACAGTGTTCAGGGCAGCAATTAATGAAGGCTAAGATTTCAAGTCTGCTAATACCCCATATTATCCGCCCGGCACTGAAACAGCGTGAAGATAACAAGGAGCTTTCTAGGAACTCCCAAACAGCATCTCACCGCCTCCTGATTACTGCAGATTGGAAAAAAAATGTGTTAATTAAACAGCGGAACAGCTGTGACCCTTTTTCTGACTCACGTTAGCGGGAGAGCAACTATCTCTGAGTAAGAGATGGAAGCACAGGTTTGAAACGGCCACGTTCACCAGAGCAGTAGAAGCTGACGCTCCTCCATCGTGGGGTCCTCCAGGAACCCAACAACATCACCTACAGACCCACCAAGCTCCTGTTTTTCAATCTTACTGATTTTTTTTTTTTTCCTATTCTGAACTCTTTTTTTTTTTCAAACAAAGACTTTAGAGGCTGCCAGTTCTTGTCATCACACTTCATCATTTCTGATGGGGCGTCCGGAGATGTGGAGCAGCTCAAGGCTGTGTGGCTTTACCACCTCGAACGTTAACGCCGCGGTTTCCCGACCGCTGAATCACAGACAATTTAGCTACGATATCAGATACCACTCTATGACACCATCAGATACCATTCTATGATTCTATGATATTAAAAAAGGTATTAAACATAATAGTCCAGGCAGGTGTAATCTTCCATGTTTATAAATTGAGGGAAAAATACAGAACAATTTGAGGGTAAAAACGACGCGAAACCAAGTTTTAATGACACGACGTGATGGAGGTTCCTCTCAGAAAAAGCATGTGTGACAGCTTGTTATAAAGCCTAATTGCGACTATCATCTCACACCTTATTAGGATGAGGAGGCTGGCATGGGCCCGTGCTTCTGCCGCTTTGCGGTTCCGCAGCGCCGCGATTAAAAAGCAATAGCGAGCCTTTAAGCTCCAGCTTCTAGTAAAATCGCTGATTAAATCCCTCACGTCACACTAGAAATCTCGACCTTATCGATCCTGCAACACAGAAGTGCCCTGAATTGCACAATTTTTCTACAAAAGCAGGAAGGCTGCGGTGGGAGGGAAAGGTCGGTGATGAATTTTGTATCACCATCTCCTCTTGTTTCCACGTGAAGGGCTCACCACAAGCATTAGATGGATAAGGAATGGGCTGGATGGACACGGTCAGAGTTACAGTCACCAGCTCGATGTCCAAGCGGAAACCAGTAATGTCCCTAAAGGGCTGGCACTGGGACCAATCCTATTTTATATCTTCATCAGTGATGTGGCTGGTAGGATTGAGTGTCTCCTCGGCAGGTTTGCAGATGACACCAAGCTGAGCGGTGCGGTCGGCGGGCCAGAGGGACAGGAGGGCATCCAGGGAGACCCGGGCAAGGTTGATGAGTAGACCCAGGTGAACCTTGTGAAGTTCAGCAAGGCCAAGTTCAAGGTCCTGCCCCTCGGTCGGGACAATCCCCAGTAGCAATAGAGGCTGAGGGATGAAGGGATGGAGAGGAGCCCTGTGGAGAATCACTTGGGGGTGTTGGTGGATGAAAACCTGGACGTGACCCAGCAATGAGCACTCACAGCCCAGCAGCCCAGTCCCATCCTGGGCTGCATCCAGAGCAACGGGGCCAGCAGGGCCAGAGAGGTGATTCTGCCCCTCTGCTCTGCTCCGGTGAGAGCCCACCTGCAGTTCTGGGTCCAGCTCTAAGGTTTTCAGCACAAGAAGGACATGGACTTGTTTCAGCAGGTCCAGAGGAGGCCACAAAGATGATCAGAGGGCTGGAGCACTTCTGCTACAGGGACTGGCTGAGAGAGTTGGGTCTGTTCAGCCTGGAGAAGAGAAGGCTCCAGAGAGACCATACAGCAGCCTTATGATATATAAAGGGGCCTTCTAAGAAAGCTTATAGATTGGACATAAGGAAGAAATTTTTACACTGAGAGTCATGAGACCCTGGCATAAGTTGCCCAGAAGAAGCTGTGGAAGCCCCATCTCTGGAAGTGTCCAAGGCCAGGTTGGACAGGGCTTGGAGCAACCTGGTCTGGTGGGAGGTGGCCCTGCCCATGGCAAGGAGATTGAAATTAGATGGTCTTTGAAGGTCCCTCCCAACCCAAACCATCTTGTGATTCTGTGATTCTGTGATTTTGTAAAAACAAACTCGCATTTTTTCAGTAAACTCAAGCTGTATCTACGAAGGCTGCGCTCAGCACACACCCGCCCCTGGGAGCAGAAGGCAGATCCCCTGAAGAAGACACGGGGCAGAACTCAGGGCTCACGCCGCGGCGCATCGTAAGCAGGAGTAACCAGCCATGAGGAGCTCCAGGAGGTCCTACATGGTTGCATGGCCCAGTTGAGTTCTGGGTGGTCCTGCTTCTGCCGTGATCTTCCACCCCAGCTCATCCTCCTCCAGCCTTTTTCCTGGCTTTATTTTCCATGCACCTTCCCTGCACCCAGGGGGGTGAAGGAACAGCTTTGGAGCGGTGAGCATGGGGACATCACAGGGGGTGATGCCGTGGTGGGGACACCAGCTGCCTGGCAGGCCAAGGCCGTCTCTGCCGATGACATTCCCGCTGTCACCACTATCCTCACCAGCCAGCCAGAAGCAAACAGGATGCTCTAGGGCAGAAACGACCACAAAACCACAAAGCTTTGTGCCCGTGACCCACCCTGATCACAACTGGAGCATCTTGGCGACGGGATGAAATACCTCAGGCAAAACCAAGCTCTGAAACCCCATCATTAAAGGACAAAAAGCCAGAGTTCCTTCTTGGCTCTCCTCCATCCGAATCTGATACGTTGCTGAGGCTCATGAGTAAGGTCTCACCTGTCTCCTGCCACAGGACACTTGGTGAAGGCTGTTCCCCCAAGAACAAAACCTGGCCTGGGTGAGATGGAGCCGAAGGATGGAACCAATATGGGATGCCCAAGCTGAAACATTTCTGATTTTTCAGAGCTTGAGACAGCAACTCCCAGCAGAGCACTGGCGGATCCAACCACTGCTATAAGCCTGAAGCATCTCTGCAAGCGAAACCTCAAGGCTTTACCTATTAAATTTCATTTTCCAAATTAAATGCATCCAAGTCAGTTCTCTAGAAATGAGGCCAGCCTGCACAGGTCTGGCCCGTGACTGCATTATTAATCAATTTTATCACTTACATTGACTGGTCACAGCCAAATTTTGCCCCCAAACCTTTTCCTACCTTGGTACCTGCTCTTGTCCTCTCTGATTTTGAGGGAGGAATGTCACCTCCAGCAGCCCAGAGCTGCAATGGGGAGAAATCACACCCAGGGATGGGCAGAATTCCAAAGGAACGCTGCTGAATAATATCAGAGTTTCTACTAATTACAAGCTGAGATTTTTTCAAACATTTACAACTTGGTCAAATCGGGTCTGGAGTGAAATTAGACACGATGCAAAGCCCCTGCACTGTGTCAGATGTACAGCTCCTACCCCAAAGAATGGCAAGGAAGAGAAAGTCTTCCAAAGGCTTTCAACAGGGTTATTTATAATAATTCCTTTTGCAAAAAACAAAACAACAGAAAAACCCCAAACAATATTTCTTCATTCTGCAAATGATTTAATTTAGCATGAAAAGGGAGCCTGGAGCAGACAAGATGGTGAGAAATGCTTCAACCCACATGTGCAAATGGGCACAGGGGTCCCAGCCTGGCAAACACACCCCACGGAGAGTCACTTTTTTTTTTTTCCAAATACAACTGGGAATTTCTCCAGGGTGTTGACAAAGTCAATTTTAAACCTAGAAGCGGTCCCACCTCACGCCTCATGCAAGCCAAGCCCCAGCTTTCGAATGCAACACAGGGCAAGAGCTATGGGGCAGGGGCCAGAGGACATCCCACATACCAGGGGAAGCACCAGGAGCCTTATCAGGGATCTTATTGCCTCTCCTGGAGGGATTATTTGGCCTCTTAGGGGATGAGATTATGAAGCTCCACCTGGAAATTCCTGTTTGTCTGTGATCCATCTGTAGGCAGCATCTCCTCCCCCTGCCTCTCTGCTCAGCCAGCTTGAGTTTAAAGGTGGGAATTTCATCCAGGTTCCTTGAAAATCATGCTTCGGAACCCTCGCTTTAACTTATAGGGGAACAGGAAATAATCTCCCTTTGGTTTTTCTACTCATACGGTCCTGCTCAGCCACAGAGCATCACCACCACAACCAACCTCAGGATGCTCTCGGGTACCACAAGCTCAGCTTTCACCCTTTTCCACTCGAGTTTCTCCTTGGAGGGGTTGGGGCTCTCTTTTTCACGCTGTTCCATGGCTTTAACACATGCCAAGCGAAAGGAGCAGGGATGCTACCTTGTTTTCAGATGAAAAAAAACCCCAAGAGCTCTGCAAAATTTCATCCCAGGAGAAAACGGCAGCAGCAGCGCAACGTTCCTACCGAGCAGCTCTGGCAGCAGCAGGTGATGGATCTGCTACGCGGTGCCGGCGAGCACCCCCACGACCTGCAGCACCCTCACTTGTGTCAGGGCTCAGCACCCAGGACACCTGCAGGGACACGAAGGATCCCCAACCGTTTCCTGATCCCAGATAACCCCGTCCTCAAATAACCCCTGGGAGAGGAGGCAAACGGGCATGAAACAACCAAGGAAAACCCCAGAAGAAAAGGTTTATTTACTGAATGCTGCAGAAGAAGCCTGATAAGTTCTGTTCTCGGTCCCGGTGTCCACCGGGAGGTGGAAGGTGCCCTCCGTGGCACAGGAGGAGGAGGTCTGTGGCCAGGCTTGCTTCATCAGAAGTGTAGCTTGAGTGGAGACAGAGAAGAGGTGTCACACAGAGCAATGAAGATACAACTTCCCGCATTTACGTCACATTTGAACCGCTTTGCTGCCCTCTTCCTTTCCCCGCCCCAACCTTTTAAGGACAACTACCTGTAAGAATTTCACACTGTGGGTCCTCTCGCTCCACCTGCTCCCCAGGGAGCTCGCACAGTGCGTTGCAGGAAACCAGTTACCTACCCCAAACACCTGATTTCCTGAGCTAAGCGATCTGTATGAAGATCTCCACCTGGGGGACATGGCCAGCAGAGCCACCATCCCTCTCCAGATCCCACTGGTCACCTCTGTCCACAGGGACCAGTAATGGATGTCCTTTGTCTTGTTTTCCAGCTGGAAAACGGGCTGAGCCTGGCGTGCAAGGCATTTTACTCACAGTAAAACCCTCTGAGATGCTTGCATGGCAGGTACCACCAGTGGACAAGGTACTGGCTTCTGTGACCATCCCACCAACTCTGGACAGGACAGTCAGCAGAAGCAATGGCTTTGGGCAGGTGTCCCAGATGGCCGAAAAGTATTTCCGTGAAGCCAAGTCAAATAAACCAGAAGAAGCTCAAGAGACGAACCTTGTGGCATTTGAGAACGGAAGGCACCGACAGAATTCTGTCGTTTTGTGAGTCTTAAATTTTATGGAGGAGGAAAAGGCTTTATACCAAGTGCCAAAACGCACCTCTGCATGAGGAACCGGCACTCGAGGTACCTTCATCCTACACCCAGACACACAACCAACCCTTTTCCAAGAACCGTCGCTACACCAAAGGCTTTCTGGAGCCCATCTATGGAGAAGGACAATCACCAACACAAGCCTACAACCCGGTTCCTTCCCAAAGCTGATGTCCCTGGGTAAAGCTTAACACGTCTTTTCTGTTTTTCTTTCTTTCTTTTTTTTTGTTCTCCTGAAAATAACTTTGTTTCCCCAGACAGTGGCCCCCTCCATCCCTGGTTGAAGGGAAGAAGACCAAGCGAGGGTTGATCGAGCCTCAGCAGGCTCCTTAGTGATTAGACCTCGCCGTGAAGTTGTGGAGGGTGAAGGAGGAAAAATGATGCAGCTGCTGGAATCGAAGAAAATCAACAATTTATGGCTTCTTTAAAGGTATTTTTTGCGAAGGCAGAAGGTAGCGTGTTGACACACTCTCTCTACACCAAACTACTGAATTCCCCAACACCTCTAGAAGGTAGGAGGCCAGGGGGTGTCCCTGTTGTCCCCTTCTCCCCATGAGGATGCCATTAGGGACAGGTAGGATTTCCCCAGAGATGGGGTAAAGGGATTTTTAGCTCAGATCTGCCAACTCAAGAGATTTCCAGAGAGAAAAAAAAAAGAAAAAAAGGCCTTTGAGGAAAAAGAGCATCAATGGAGGCGTGATTTTGTAGGCAGGGAACTGTCTGTAGCAGCAGAACCAGCCATGTGGGGCAGAAAGAGGAGCAATTTGGGAGGACCACCATGGCCCACAGGAGGAGGTGGTGGGTTCCTTATCCTCCCATCAGCCCCAAGGGAGTCACCCATGAAGACATTTTAAAGTTGTGCTTGATAACTCCTTCTACCCAAGCAAGTTTCTACCACAAGGGGCTCAGTGCTGAGCCCCACAGAAGGGACTTCAAGACTTGGTCAGGGCTTGTAAACCTTTCTGCAGCCCAAAAGGCAAGAGCAAGGATGCTTCAAGTCCCTCCAACACCTCCATGTCTGCTCAGACTCTTATTTAACCATCTCTGAAGATGCAGCTGGAGCGCCACAGAGTGGCAAGTTGGGGATGAGCGGTTGAGGACTCCAAGGAGGAATCGGCATTGGTGCCACAGCCCAGGCCAGCAGCCACACGGGGTTGGACATGACTGCCCAGAGAGAGCAGAGAAGCACTTCTGCGGGTCTGTCGGTCCACCAAGACCTCACGAGACTGTTCATGTGGGACACGAAGTGACGATCTGCTGGAGGGTGGAAAGGCTGTACAGAGGGACCTGGGCAGACTGGATCGATGGGCCCAGGCCAACTGTCTGAAATTCAATAGAGACAAGCGTAGGGTACTGCAGTTTGGTCACAGCAACCCCCTGCAACGCTACAGGCTTGGGGAAGGGTGGCTGGAAGGCCGGACGGCGGAAAAGGACCTGGGTGTTCTAATTGAATATTGAGCCAGCAGTGTGCCCAGGGGGCCAAGAAGGCCAACGGCATCCTGGCTTGTGTTAGGAATGGTTTGGACA